CACCGCAGATCCAATTGCAGAGCGAGAAAGACACCAAGTCTGCGGTACTTGTCACGGCCAAAGGCATGCAGCTCAAGGTTCTACAAATCATGGACAAGGACCGTGTCATGGACGAGGTCTCGGGACTCGTTCAACGAAGGTTCATCGCAGCTATGGACAGCTTGCAAATCTTCGTCACCAACTCAAAGACCTTTAGCAGTCCGGAGGATATCCACATGTACTCCGGAAGCATGTACGGAACGCCAGCTGGCTCAGCGTGGCCACCATGGGTACCTTTCGAGGTCATGTTCGAGTTCCATAGCAATCCATTCGGCTTCCAGCGGGTGGTACAGCGAACTTCAGCCAGTATGCGCTACGACAAGCACAACGCGCTGCGCCTGAAGTACAACGACGATGTCTCGGCTGCCGACTCGGCCACATCTGCTGACAACATGGAGAGCCGTATTGACCATCTATGGGTGGACTTCCCACACGTGCGGGCCCTGTGCGATTCCAGGCAGTACTATGCGATGTACGTCATCGTATTAGATCTTTTGCTGTACCACGAGCCTTTGGAAAAGACGCGTAATGAGCGACTTGAGAAGATCATGCTTGCTTCCGACTTCACCGATCTCGCAGGAGCTCCAAAGCTAGTCATGGGTCTTCAAGAGCGTATCCAGCAATTAGAAGAGATCAAAAATGTCTTCCAGATCAACGAGAAATACCTGGACAAGCAAGGTTGGGAAGACAGGATTGAAGTTGAGAAAGACTTGGCTGTCTACGAGGACGAGCTCTTCTTCGTCATGAAGGCGATCACGACCGCACAACGCAAGCAAGACGATCGTGCTCAAGCAAGAGATTCAACTGGCCTTTTGCGGATGTATGTCTCTGCATCAGACATCGTTTGGCATCTGCTTCGCGAAGGCGCAGAGTCACTAGCAGAATTCCAACTGAAGAACGTCGCATTCGACCGCACAGACAACAACGATGGATCCAACTCGAACTCTTTGGAGATTGAGCAAGTGCGAGGTCTGAACTTGCTACCTAACGCCCTATACCCAGAGATGATTTCACCTTTCCTGGAGCAAGATCAGACTCTTCCGGAAAACGCCAAATGCCTCAAGGTGTACTTTGTGGCGCTTGAATCGATCGCCGGTATCCCTGTCGTAGAGCACTTTGAAGTTGAGTTGTATCCACTAAAAGTGCAGTTGGAGTACCAGATCGGCAAGAAGCTGTTGCAATATGTCTTCCCTACATACGGTGACAGCAAGACTGCGAACTCGTCGCCCTTCTTACTCAAGCACACTCTGCCGACTCAGGATGAGGAAGACGAAGAAACCGATAGCATCATTTCTGGAGCGACAAGTATGAGCGCCTCGCTTTCAGCTGACGACGGCGCTGTGGAAGCGCTCAAACAACGACTTACGCCCACACTTCAGCTCCCCGATCCAGTACAGAAGTCTGACGCAAAGAGGAAGAGCTTGGTTAAGCGCCCAAGCGCTCACTATTTCCGTTTCTTCAAAGACAGCAATCCTTCTCGTAGTGGAACAGAGCTTCGTCGGACTCTTCACCCCAGCTCTGCTTTGGTCGTCCCTACATTAGGAAACAGCTCCAATACTTCCACAAGACCAAGCTCCGTCCGGTCAAGTACTACCAATTCAAGTCAGACTTTGAACGAGTCTGATCGAACCGCAAAACGCTTTGCGCTCTACCGCACCGGCACTAACCTGGCGGAGAAGAAAACGAACAAGAAGGAAGCCAGAAGTGATGATCTGACTGAGATGATGAGTCGTGCGAGCGAGTACATGACAGTGGCTTACTTCAAGATCCCGTCCATGGTACTGTGTCTTTCCTACAAGGGCAAGAGCACACGCAACTTTGAAGATGTCCACGACCTGGTCTTCCGGATGCCCACGATAGAGTACCGCAACAAGACATGGTCTAACCTCGACCTCGTCACACAGCTCAAGAAAGACGTGTTAAGGGCACTCCTCTCCCACGCTGGTACGATCGTTGGCAACAAGATCTCGCACCACCGACCTTCAGCCAAAGCACAGTCGCGCCTAAGACAGCTCGCCAACAGCAGCACGATGCTCAACACCTCTCCCGATCTCTCCGGCACCGACTCAAACTCCATGCGCGACCACTCCCCCGGCGGCTCCGACCTCTCAGCCGAAGACCGCATGCCCCGCCGTTCTTTCGCATCCGGCCGCCAAGGTAGTCTCATTAGCACCGTCTCGGAAGAAGGCTCGTCTCTCCAGTCGTCAAAACCACCTTCGACGTCCAATCAAGCACGCTCAACACACGGTTCCATCATGGGTGGCTTGAATCATCACAGCAACGGACTGGCTGAAGACGTCGATGACGGACGTGCCTTTGCTGATGAGCTTTCAAGAGTAGACAACACAGAACCAGTCCACGCAAACCTCATTCATAGCTTGAGTAAGCACATCGCCGGTGTCAGCGCACCCTTTGCTGGACACATGCGAGGCAGAGCGGGTAGCGGCGCAGCCAGCATGCGAGCTGCGAGTGTGGCCACTGGCATTAGTGGCGTCAGTGGTATGAGCGGACGGGAAGGCAGCGTCATGGAAGAAGACACCGATGGTCCGAAGACGAAGAAAGCGAAGGCTCTAGGCAAGAAGTTGCTTGGTAGGGGGAACTAGAAACTTCCCTAACATCACTCTTTTCCTTTTTGTTCTGCATCATCATCATTAGCATTCCTCGGCGTTTCTTTGTTTCATTTGTAAATATTGGGTTTTAGATGGTGTAGCAGAGAGGACTCTTTCTTTGTTTTGTTTTGTCTTTGTATCATAGCGTTGCGAGAATTGGTGTCCTGGAGGTGTTGGAGTAGATAGTTTCCAATAACTCTGTCGTGGAGGTCTAGTATCAAGTCATATAAAGATTACGGTTCCATCTTCCTGTCCTCTGAGATTTTGCACTATGTGGGATGGGCATGCTCATTCTCAACTATGGCCCTTCCAACGTTGTTCGTGAAGTCGCGAACAGTGTTACCCATGTCTTCTCCGTGCGGGGACAGGGCTGGGTGGCGTAGCTGACGCGACGTGAGGACGCGACAGGTTCGCGTTTGGCGGGGCTGGTCGGTGCGCGTGGGAAACGTCATCGGGGCACCAGGCATTGCCAGCTCGAAGTCGCGACTTCCGTACCTTCTTCCTACCATCATCTCCGTGATAGATGGCGATGCTGGCACACCGAACTCGTGCGCTTTCTCACTCAACTTCGGTCACTTACGGCTACATTCTCATCTACGCTTTCATCCCTCTCGCTTGGTATACATCTGCGTTTGATTTTGGAGTCGAAAAGAGTTTGACAGCGACCAGGCATTTTCGACAAGAAGCACGCAGATTCGGATTTCCATGGAGATTTGATCTTGTCCACGACTGACTCCGAGGGTTCTCAGCAATCTTTCGAGAATGGAGTTGATCGTTCCTGCCTGCGGGCTTCGAAGACACCGGAATGCAGATGCTAACGCGAAGCAAGGGCTGGCAGTCCACTACTTGTGTTGACATATTCTTTGCTACACAACTGTCAGTGAGGGTATCACTTACATATATAGGCAACTACTCTCTAGGCCGCGCCATCCGTCTGTTCTGAAATTGGAGTAAGCTGCATCCATTCAATGGCTTCAATCATCGCCAAACGTCAGATTCGCCATGGGTACGGCATTGAAGCCGCCATCCTGACCATTCAACTACCCAGTACCTATAATTCATACGACCGATATCTGCGCTACCTTTATGTGCACGGCCTTCAATGCGCAATTCACGCTGTGTTGCTGGTCCACACCGTTGGACAGTGCATTCATGGTGCACCCTTTACCGATATATACAATGCCTAGCCCCATTAGATCTCACGATCATAGTTCGCCTAAGTCTCCGCTCCAATCTCTCAACTCTGTCAAGAACCGAAGCGAATGTTAACTAGGGTCTTCGACAGCATATCGAAAATCAAAATCATCGACCGCTCCAATGTCGAATTCTACATTTTTCACGACCTTGCCAACCGAAGTCCGCGATATCATCTACGATTATCTCTGGTGCGATACAAAGACCTTTGTCCAGCGGCATGATACCAAAGACTACAAGGTAACCTATGATCGAAGGCACGACTCGGTTGAAGCACCATCTGCTGTTGACAAAATCCCATGGCTTCTTACCAACAAGCAAATGATGCGCGAAGGCATTCGGCAGCTACACCAGAAGTCAACGTGGCACCTGGATAACCGAATATCAGATACACGTCCCCAAAGCTATATCTTAGACGCAATCACTCCATCAGAGTGCCACACGCACGAGATCTACGTTCAGTGCGACTGGCCGATGATCTTTGATGACGTAAAACGAGTCTACCGGCTCAGCGAAGTAGCGCGGGCTGAGATCAATAGAAGCGCCGCAACAGCTAATTCCTCGACTCCGCTAGACACTGTTTGCATCAAACTCGTCCGCCCAACCAATGAGCGACTAGCTGCCAACAGCGCGGCAGACTTTACCTTTAACCTCTCTGGCCTCGAAATTCTATCTAGCCATACCGAGCTTCGTCGTCTCCAGGTTCACCTCGTTGGCGTCGTTGATGATACTAAAATGCTTGTGTGGTATTGGAGTTTGCGAGGGGAGACCGACAGCGCAAATAAAGCTAGGCGTCTGGAAGACCATTACTTGGATGCTTGGAAGAAAGAGCTCTCCCGTGCGGCTGAGCTGATAATTCCCGGGGGCAAGCGGAGTGGATATATGAGGGAGTACACACAAGGGAACGGGCGTTGTCTGGAGTGGGTTTGGACGTTTGAGAAACAAAAGTCCAACCACTGAGCTTAGTAGATGATGAGGAGAACACGTGCAAGTTTTCGAGCAGAACATACACAGTGTAGTTTATACATTTCGAGGGACTCAAATAGGACAACTTGTAGGATTCTAAGCACACAAGAACAAGATCTGTCGCAGATAAGAAAACGCTTGATGTTGAGATCTAAGCATCTCTTAACATAGAAATGATATTGGGCTAGCCACCTAATTATTCGCAGGCTGACCCTTCAGAACGTCCTTGACGATGTCGCTCAACTTTACTTTCCCTTCAGCAACCTCATCAACCGAGTCCCGCACCTCTTCCCACTCCTCATTCCTGACTTTCCCCAATTTTTCCTTAGCGAATACCCCGATAGCAGCCCATACGCCCTCCAAGTCTCGCGCATCCCGCTGCATAAACTTCCTCACCTCTTCTGGCGCATCATCTTTGAGATACTTTCGCACGAGCCTTGTCATCTTCCCTCCTGGCTTGCCATCGTATACATCTTCATGCTCGTAGCACCTATAGATGAGCTTTCGAATCAATTGGGCCAGAGATTCGACATCTTCTTCCTCTGCCCGAGCCTTGCGTTCAAGCCCATCTGGAGAGTCCGTAGGATCATGGATGCAGCTCTTCGCAAATCCTACGAGACTGATTTTAGGGCGTTTAGCAATGGTAACCTCGCCATTCTTCTCTTCTTCGTAGGGAAAGCTGATAAGAATGTCCTCCGCTAAAACACTGCCATGTGTGATAGTCGGCTTACATTCGCGGTGTAGGAAGTAGATTGTCTCATAGAGCTGCGTAATGATGAGCCAGAGTAGGCATTTTGGAAGCTTGTCCCTAGTGTCGAACACGAAGAGTCCTTCAAGATCACTAGATACTGGTGAGCTTGCCATGACCAGCCAACCTGGTTCCCCTTGGGCCATAGCTTCCATGTCGTAGTGGTCAACTACTTCAATGCAGTGCTCACCGCCGCTGCGAGAATACGATTGGCGGTGTATCTCCTGGAGAATGCGTAATTCGGGATGCATCGTAGGCTGGGTAGAGCCTTCTCCGGGAATCTTTACTGCAACGACGCGCCTAAGGAGTGCATCGACGACCGAGTCCTCTTGGGCGTTCGCAGCCAGTTTGGAACGCGCATCATTGATGTCGGAGGTGGGAACACACAGACTGACAAAACAGTACGTAGACGAAGCAGCGTCGCGAAGCCAGGTGTACTTTTCGGGCATCTGTGGGGGCCTGTCGCCCGAAGCGTCGTTGAGTGCTTCAGACATTCTAGGGTGGACCGCTGTGAGTAGGGTCGAATTTTTTGGACGTGATGATAACCGAAGGAGCAATGAGAATCTTGTATTGTTGCGATCCAAGGGAGCGATGATGCCTTAATAAAGCGTGCCAGAAGTTTGTGACTTTCGTCACAAGAACACAAACCATCGTCGTGCGTGCGCATCATTCGCAATCAACGTCCAGGAAGCCTCTTCCTTATGGTCTTCATCTAATTTGTCTGGCGTCACCTGGCGTCGCACTCCCTAAGTTTTGCCCTATACCACGGCTTAGCAATCTTAGCAATCTCAATTTTCAACGCCGCCTCATCCACACCATGCTCTTTGATATGTCCCTTCTCTTCCTCCAAAATATCATATTGCATCCACTTCAAAAAGTCACCCAATGCCCGCACATCCCGCTCAACACCTTTCTCGCGCAACACATCCCAGCCTTGATCTAACCGCTGCTGTGAACACCACGCAGCTGCTACCGTTGCGGCTGCTTTGCGTCGCTCTTTGATGATATCGGCACCTTCGTGTTGTTTTGGAACGCGGAAGAATGTAGGTTTGAACTTTCCTCCTTTGCTTTTGAACCAGAGAGACGTGTCGGCGTTGTATTGAGGAGCGACGGGTTTCCAGACGATGCCCTCACCCAAGCCGGAAATACCAAAAGTTGCCGCGAAAGGGCAATGAGCGGCAACTCCTTCGGTCATGCGTTCGACTTCTGATACTGTGCGTTCGTAGTCGTCAGGGTAGAGTGTCGTGTGGAAGGAGCCGGCTCTAGAGGCGTTGTAGATATCGTAGTCCGGCAAGCAGATATCACTGTATTCTTCGTCTTTTTGCCATGTACCATTGATGTTGACCGACACGATGACGAAGCGACGTGATAGTTGTGCGATGGCGACGTCTTTTTGGATCTTCTCGCCTATCCATTCACCAGCCATCACAAGGGGTGAGTCTTCTCCAAGTCGTGCGCCAGGATTCAACTCTTTCCATCGTGCCAGATATACATCTCGCAGTCCAAGTATGGCCTCGGTCTTCTCAGACATACTTGCTGCGAACCCTTGATTATCTTTTGCGACGGATAGACCAGTTATGTTGCGCGACTGGAACACGATGCGGTTATCAGGGTATACGAGGATATCTGCGTGCGTGCCATGAAGTTTGACTGTACCCACGAAAGGTATTGGGTCCACAGTGATGTTTCTTTCTGGATGAGTAGGGTCGCGGTGCAAGCGCCGCAGCTGGTCGATAATTTCAGGAATGTGTGTCGTGATCTTGGGGTACAGCGTCGACTGTGCGAGGTCTATAGTTGCCATGACGGGCAAACCTGGTTTCGCTCGAAATCTCACAGTAGTCTAGGTGCCACCTGGATTCGCGAGAAACGTGACGATGATATCGAGTGCCGTCGCAATGTGCGCCAACCCGCCCGCGTTGTGCTGCGATCCTCCTGATCGCGCCAAATTGATCTTAACATGGAGCTATTACTTCAAAGTTCGCACGTGAGATGAAAAGGATGATGAAGAGGTTTGTGAGCCAATATAGTCGACGCTGTGTCGCTCAGAAGCTTCCAATGTGGCCACAGTAGTTCCAGCGTTGCGACACTGTTATCGATACGCGGCTGTCAGCTCCGCGATCTTCAACACGTTATGGCACCTCAAACCTAGCGGATTAAATACCATGCGTGTGCGCGAATAGCCGCTATCATGTGAAATACTAGCGGTTCCAACACAACTGACACAGCAAAGTTGCGTTCTAGCTGGGATTTTCTCGTGTAAATTGAATCATTGTATCATTCGTGACAGTTAGTCACTAGAGCGTTTATTACGTGACGTCGCTCAATCTTCTCATGCGATTGCTCAAGTAAGTCATGAGATCTCTGCTGACTTCTACGTTCTAATCCGTCATGATGCTTCCACGATCTTCCCGTCCGGTTGGCCATCCTTCTTCTTGTCGTCTTTGTGCAACTCCGGGTTTAACGGATGCTTCGAGTCATAACCAACTCTCTTGACAATACCCAATCCTTTCGTCCTGCCCTCACGGAATAGTATTCGATCGCCGACAGTTAAGTACTCCGGTCGCTGTACGAAGCGGAAGGCTACCTGTGCTCGGTCACCAGTGCGGATGTACTGGCGGTCGATGTCGATGATGGCGCAGGTTTGGGACACTGGTCCAACGTGTAGCATAGCCTGATACTTTGTTTTAATAGTCGTCGCGTGCGACAAGATCAAGACTTCGGCAACGAATTCGCGGTACACTTTCGGGGCTGGCAATATCCCAGTTGTTGGATCAGGCTTCTCAGCCTTGTGCAAAACGACCATGCCCTTCCGCACATCTTTCCGCCGAACGTTGCGCAGCGCGAGACTAGCAGACTGCCCAGCAGAGCATCCTGGAACTTGTATCCGTTTGCGCTCGACGGAACGCACCTTTGTCGTTTGGAACTGGCCAAGACTGTCGGGACCGATCAATACTGTGTCGCCAGAATGTATCTCACCAGACTTCACAACACCTGAGACCACAGTGCCAACGAAAGGGACCGAGAATGTGTCGTTGACGTGGAACTCCAGAGGAGCAGAGGCGTCGTAATTGCCGTGATGCGGTAATGCGTTGAGGAACATGCGCACTAGGTCCAGGTTGTGACCAGTGACATTGGAGACTTGGAAGATAGGACATATACGACTCGACACAAATTGGGTAGCGGTGGTGATGCACTCCTCCCTATTGTTGATGAATACCGGTATCTTTCGCGCTCCTGGAGATTTGAGGATCTTAGATAGCTGAGTTATAGTCTGTTCAAGGATCTGTGGCGGACAAATGTCGATTTTGGTGATAACGACCATGACGGGGACGTTGAGCGCAAGCGCGATTCCGAGATGCTCTTTACTCATGCCAACTAAACCGTTGTTTGCCGCGATCATCAACAGACAGTAGTTGGGCTCGCTTGAAAGCAGCCCAAAGACGGTAGTTCGCAAGTATCTCTCGTGACCAGCGAGATCAGTGAAGCTGATGACTTTGGCGGATCGCCGTCCGATCTCTTCCCAAGTAAGTTTTCGACCTGCGACGTTCGACACAACGACTTCGCTCTTGCTGTCAAAGCCCATTATCTCCATGCCGACTGAGCTGGTTCGACCACTCTCGATTTCGTGTTTGTGGCGGAAGAGGTTGACGCGCGCTTTTCCGCGGCCATCATCGAGGCCGCCTTTGACGAGGACACCGAGCATAGTACTTTTGCCAGCGTCGACTGTCGAGAGTCAGTGTATATTCTCAATTGCGCCTGGAGGCACTCACCATTTCCTACTACCGCTATCCTCGTCTCGATCACATCGTCGACACTCTGCGGCTGTTGTCGCAAGATCATCTTGCCACTTAAGCCAAGCTCCTTCGCATTCCGAGGTCCGACTTCGACGTCACCACCAACGTTCCGCGTCATGAGCATCTTGTAGTCGGCTTTGATCTTCTCGCAGGCAACTCGTATCCTCTCCAAGGCAAACTTCCACTGATCTTCAGTGAAGCCCATCGAGTCACCGCTGTCTTCCAGGCCAACATCGAACAGAGCCTCCCCATGGCCCTCGGCCAGGCGCCCCTGGATATGCTCAGCGAGCGCTGCGACGTTATCTTCGGCGGGGTCGGTAAGGAGCGTCTTTAGGCGGATGTGCGCCTTGTTGTCATCGGAAAGGCCGAGCTCGTCGAGGATGCTCAGCTCATCGTGGTCTTCGAGGACGGCGGGGGCTTGGCCGGGCGGTCGGCGCAGCGCCTGTTGTTTCTGGACGTAGTCGGCGAATTCGCTGAGCGCCTGGTATGTACATTAGCTTGAGCACGTCGTCTGGAGCCTCAGTGGGCAATCCGTCCAAAGTACGATGCGATCGCCTTGGTGCTACAAGAAGCCCCATTTCCCTGGTTGTACTGCTCGGCGCGAACCGCGAGCCAACGGGATTGGTTCGTCCTGTACCGTACTCGTTGTTTCAAAGCAACAAATATATCAGGGGTACACCTGGAGTACAGCTTGGGGAGAGGTAGGCTTCTCTGGGTTATTACTTACAGACTCGCCCTTCCGCCGCTCAGCTGGGCTCTGCTTAGGCTCGTGTCGTGAAGCCATATTATGCGAAAGAGCACGTGATTATGAAATATCCACCGGTAAACCTAAGCTGAAGGTATTCGTAGCGACCGAAGTACGTGGTGTGATGGAGGTATGAATGTGGGGTTGGGGCTGTCAGGACGTGTTCCGTAAACACCGCCGTATTAATAAGACGTTTGGTATTCGCGGGAGCTGGAAGGAGTGTGAATATTCCATGAGTTGTCTTGCAGTGAGCATCGAAGGGTGGCAAGTGCTGGAATGGCGCTGGCAATGGCGATGAGAGCTGCTAGGGAGATCCGGGGGCCTACTTATCGATAGAAGGCCGCCGGAGCCATGACGCTGAGACTCACGCGGTAGCGCGTCTTGACTCATCCCAGAACCACCACCATTACACCACTCACAGCCTCCGTGGTCCACAATCACCGCGGCGTCATCCGTAGTGTTGTCGCTACAGTCATACGATACGTGTTTACGCCCTCGCATCGCTGAGTTTACGCGAGTCATCATCAAAAAGGGCGGAACACGAAAATGTCGCGACTAGGCAGCACTGCAACAAAGGCGCACATGATAAAGAAGGCACAAAGTAAATGCATCATGGTTTGGCTATGAATTACAAGAGAACAGATAGTGCCGTCAACGAGGGAAGCGTGCCCTCTCATGATGCTACAACACCTCGTTCCCCGCAGTACTTCTCCACCTCCTTCCTCAGCGACTCGCGCTGGTGGTTGACTGTATCCATGATGTCGCTGACACCATTGATCGTCTTGCAGTACTCAAAGGTCTCCGCCATTTGCATGAGTACTGCTGTGAGCTGGTTGGGTAGCCACTATTACGCGTCAGTAAGAGCAAGGACCGTTGAGCCAAAGAAGCACTTACAGTCACGATCGGGCTGCCACCTGTTGCAGTCGGGTGCGAAGTGTGCTTGAGGATGTACTCGCGGGTGAAGCACCAATGCCGCCAGCGGAAGTCGCGAACCTGGTCAAGAGCTTGGAGATAGAGCGCGGCAGAGACAGAATCGCCCTTCGCAAACTCGCGCACGCCCGACTGCTGAGCGCAATCGCGAACAGCCTCCAGGAACTCGCGGTGGTTGCCAGGCCGGTACTGGCGGAAGTCCTTCAGGATATCTGTGAGGGGTGTCTCCGGCATCTGGACCTGAAGCAGGTTGTCGCACATGGGAATCATGCTGTCGTTGGCTCCAGACTCGCCGCGGAAAGACATTGGCTCTTCGCTCACGCCCTCGTATATGACACCGTTGGGGAACATAGATTGTGAGGTGATGCCGAAGATGAACGTACGGAAATTGGTGTAGCCTTGCGGCTTGCTACGGTTCCACATGGCTAATCTCGTCAGTCGCGAATTTATGCCCCCAAACAATGCACTTACTGTTCATCACGGCGTTGACGTTCCTGAGACCACCCACCAGAGTACGAAGGCCATCGTTGAATCGCTCTCGGTCCTTGGCCAGACAGCTTTCAAGCATCTCAGAGGCACCTGTGACAAGCGCACCAGACTCCTTGACCATAGCTATGTGGACGAGAACGAAGCCTGCCTCGGATGAGGTGGGATCCAAACCGTGCTCGAAAGCGCGGATCAGGCGAAGGTTGTCGTACTCGAGGCCCCGTGATGGATCTTCCAGACGGTAGTTGAAGAGCGCATACGACCCAGCATACTCCATGAACGGCTTGAAACCAGCACTGCGCACCGGTAATGTTAGCCATGTCATCTACCCTGTGATGTCTTGTGAAAGTGACTTCGTGGCCATGTTCTGTTTGGAAGTTGCCATGCCAAGCTAAGGAGACAAGGACACAAGACCAGCACCACATGGGGATAGGAGAAAGCATTGCCACTTACATCTCAGCAACCTTGACAATGGGTAGCGCGATGCACCTCGGCAGCGACTGTCGACCCAGACCATACTCCTCTCCTCTTACATGCCTCTCATGGCAAGGCTCGAAGAGATATGCAGAAGCTAAG